AACATGTCTGAAAAAAAAAAGGAATTGTTCAAAGCATAGTGAACAGCTATACAACACTGAAGAGAAATCCATGAAAAAAAAACACAAAAAAAACTGTCATCTTAACATCCTGCTGTTTAGAAAAGTGTATAAGAAGTATTAATGGTGAGCTTACATACAGATCTGGGATAGGGGCACATTGATGTAGGTGGAGAAAATCACAAATTTAAGTTGCTTTGGGCAATACAGTGGGGTATAAAGGCTAGAGCAAATGAAGTAAAATTCATACCAATGCTTAGATGGGCAGAGAAGTGAAACTTTTGTCAGGATAAAGGTATAGTGTAAGCTGAGCTAAGTGTGTTTCAGGAAGGAGTTTTAACTAAAAGCAGCAATATAGTAACCTCACCTGCTAAGGTATCAAATAAAACATTATAATTAACTTGCAATGTTTTTATACGCAGTATTTCAGCATATTCAATAAAGTTCCTAATAAACATGCACAAATAGGATTTCAACCATCACTTCCACACAGCTAACTTGGCCTTTCTTCAATATAATAACTACTTTGATTGTCTAGAATATCAAATCTAACAAATAAGTTCAAATGCCATGTATATCAGTTTGAAGTTACAGCTAACAGTATATAAACACCTTTAGTCTGTTGTGCAACAAAAAACTTTTTAAAGTTGACTTTCCACTTACTAGGCACAGTCAGAAAAGTAGAATAACTGTGCTAATTTTTGATATGTTTGAAATAAATGTTAAGCTAGATGGTTTTACAAGAAAAATCCTACAAACTATGTATGGGTAAAAAGTAAAAATTCATCCTAAAAGTGGTTCTTCAGTGAAAGTATTTTCCAAAAACCTCCCTGAATGTACTTAATGTTTCTCAAAGTGATATCCTCTTTTGTCATACAATACGTAAATAATGCATCACAAGTCTCAAATTATATAGAAAATAACATAAACAAACTTATGAATGACTTAATAGATAAGAATCAAAGCTGTTTATTTTGTAATATATGCATAGAAAATTAATACTTAAACAATCAAGCAAGATAAAATCAAAAGGAAGGACCATTAAAAACAGCAAATCCAAACCTGTGGTAAATGATACATAAATGAACAAAACAAACCCAAACAAGAAAACAAAATTAAATTAAAGATGCTACATAAATTAAAAGGATCCCCAGGGTACAGTTTATAATGTGGAATACAAAATTTGTCCTGGATTTTGGAGGTGACTGTGGAAGTAGGACCTACATTGTGGTGGGGATACACCATCTATCAGACTTAACCTCTGTTCGCCAGTCTCACATGAAGAAATCCATAAAAAAATCAAATAAAATCATCAAAAGAAATTCAACTTAGGAGAGCAAGATGTGGGTGCTCAAGCCCACAACATCCCACATCTATATCACTCTTCACTGCCTGCAGACAGATGTGGGAAGATGACTGCTTCCAACATAAAAGAAATAAGGTACTACCACTTGGGGGTAAGTAAGATAAACCTGCCTCCTGAAATTGGAATTCCAGCCCACATTATAGTAGAAAAGCACTAATTTAACTTAATTAGTAGTAAAGCAGATAAATTCTACTAGTACAGAGTTATGAAAACCCAACCAAGTTATTTAAACTAACTGGTATAACTCCCAACCACCACCAATTAACTCTACTGTAACTACCAATTTTCAGACTTTACACAAGCATTTATATGCGATAAGGTGTTCATCCACATAAAAGTAATGCCAAATTGTATATACGACCTTACTAAAAACTAAAAATACTTATTGGAAACTTTAAGCAAAACTCCTAAATTTTTACTTTTATATATTTATTTAATATATTTTTATATTTATCACAAAATATTTTAATAATTTTATTTAGAGTTTCATTATTCAATCCATTGAATATTAATTCTGGCATCAATGTTTCAAAATCAACAATGAAATAACCTTTTTTAACTATCCTTGGCTTATGCCATGAGCCTTCTGTTCTCTGTGTAGCTTGGATGCATGTATTTGACTATAGTACTATTGATTGCTCAAACACTATGAAACAGTAAACCATATATGGTAACAGATAATGACAATTGTTTTAAAATGATGGAATTTTATCTCTACTTCTTACAGTGTGATTCCATAGGAAGTTTCTTAACATATCAACATTTATTATTAGTGCTAATATATCATATAAAAAAAAAACACAAATTAGTTTTATATATGTTTGTGCTTTTAAATATTCAAATCCTGCAATATGCTAGCCAGTCACCACACTGGATCGACTACTTTGTTACTATTTATGTGTTCATATTCTGTGCAGTAAAAGTATGTCAATGAAGCATATATCACAGGAATGCATCAAATACAAAAATATTAAGCATTTATACAAGCTATTTAACACCAGGTTTGCATGACCTGAAGTCATTCCTTTTAGAGAATAGTTCTGGTTCTTTAGATATAACATGAGTACTGTCCTCATCAGGCCTCTCATTTCTAGTTAGACACAGCAAGTTGTACATTCAAACAACATTATTATTTCTGATATCATACATTAACATAACATGCATTAATTTGCAAAATGTACCATAATAGTTTTAAAATGCACTTATGTAAAATTATGATACATGGAAAAACAATGCTGAATGTAATCAAAATTAACACAAATACAATTATAGCAATGAGAAAAGATTTATGTACATGTAATTTGCAAGGCAATACTTACAGAGGAACTTCATCCTGTGGAACATAACCTTCTTTAACTCTCCTTGGCTTACGCCATGAGCCATCTGTTCTCTGTGTAGCTGGGATGTATGTACCTAGAGTTGGAAAATAAATTTGCAATGCTACTGATACTTCAGTCATAACATAAAAAAACAGTAGAGAATTAAATCATCATCAAAGATAAACCTAAATATAGCTAGACTCTCATATTCATATTACCATAGGTAATTTTATAGTGGTGATGAGGTGGGTGGGTCAAAAGTTGTAAATGGCTAAGGAATTTATGTTGTATCTACCAAAATATTGAATACAAGTCTGAAAGTGTTTTAATGTCATTATATGGGTTACTGGTTAGGACACATTTAGAGTATTGTGTTCACTTTGGCTCCTTACCTCAGAAAGGACACTGAATTGTTGGAAAGGGTTCAGAGAAGAATACTTGGGATACAAATGTTATCATAGGAATATAGGTTAAAGTCTCTTGAGGTTGTTTCCTCTTGAAAAAAGAAGAGGTTCTGATTGAGATGTTTATAATTGTTAAGAGAATTGATAGTGTTGTTGCATCATCTTTTTTTCATATTTAATGGTGAGAACAGTAAGACTAGGGGAAACAAATATAAATTTTGGCAGGAAAACAGTCATCTTCAGCTAAGACAGTTATATTTTTCTAAAGGAATGGCTGTCCTCTGGAATAGGTTGTCTTCAGGTGTGGTGGATGTTACCTAGATGAATCAAAAGGTCTCTTGTTATCCTTTAATGTTATTAGTGAACAATTCCAGGTACTCTACATGACATGCATGATGATAGTTCTTATTGGCTCTTTCTACTATTACACAAAATTTATCACTGTCATTACAAATATTAGAATGACTGTTGAATTTAAAAATTTCAACTTGAGTTACTTGATAATACCACAAAGAGCAGGTATAGCCAGATGAAATGGAACATTATGATACAAAGACCTTGAATTTGTTTTTAGAGGAAAACTTTAAAATGTTAAAAAAAAAGCTTATTTTGTAAAATCTCAAAAAAACAAACAAATCTTGATACTGATTGGTTTATTTATGAACTTGTAAATTCTAAACATCTTATACAAAACTAATATTCCTATACATATTAACTATACTGATTCTCTAAGTATTAATCCAAAGTTTTCAAGAAGCCAATAGAATTACAGACTTCTTAGTAAAGGATTCTCTGTTGCTATGTTGCAAAATATAATTCTGTTAGTAATTTAATTGTAGTGGAGAATGACAAAGCAAGCATTATGTCCTATTCAAAATGACACAAAGATTGTTGTAACATAATAAAAAGCTATTGTGTAATATTCATTAATATAAAGTATGAATGTGAATTCATGAATTGAATTATTCAACAACTCAGTTTTCCCATTTAGTTGTGTCAAAGATAAATAGAATAAATCAGCTAGAACAAGATAAAACTTAAATATACAAAATATAGTCCAAGGCACTGTAAATGTAAAAGGATAATATGGTCAACATTTCTGTTGAATGATCTTCATGGTTTCAATGAATTACATACTTCTAATTCAAAATCCTTAATACATTAATTAAGAATAATGTGAAGAAAAATAACTTCATTCAACCATGACTTTAACTGCTTTGTTAGATCTAAACATCTTTAATCCTTTGCCCAATTAGGCACTTCACTTTTGCAAATATTCAGCTAACTTCTTTCTCTAATAAAAAGAATAAAAAAAATTCAAACAAAAGCTTCAAATGCCCTCCTTATTCTATTTGAGTGTACTAATTTTAAAATAATTATCAATCTTCTTGAAAAATTAAAATGATACCTTTTACTAACAATACAAAAAGTAATTTCCCTGAAATAAATAAGAGAAACATTTATGACAAAGAAAAAGTATTAATCATTTTAAAATTTTATCCATTTTCAGATACTAATGTGTCTTCCAAAAACATAACCCTTCAAATCCTACATTTATAATTAATGTAAACTATTTTGAACAATTTTACAAGTTTAATTCAAATGTTTTTTTCCCTACATGAACATAAGAGCTTGTTAATGTAGTGCTAAAATGAGAACTAGGAAAATAACTAAAATCATTTACTTGAAATGAGGCATAACTTAATATAATAGTAAATTAACAAACAAGGACTTGCATGCATAAATAAAATTATTTTAAATAAAAAACATTATGTGTTTCAACAGAACATTGGTCTGTCTGCTTCAGGTAGATTAACACCCAACTGTTAACCAATTGTAGCGTTTTAACTTGTCTTTTTTTACTTCGATTACGATCACTACATATCCCCCCTATAATTTTGCTTTGATGACATAATAATTAATTGGTCAGATATAATCAATTAATGAGCTGCTTGATTTATTGATTAGAAAATTCCACTAATTGCTCAGCTCTAATAGTTCACAGTATGACAAAAAATATGAAACATGAGGCTATCTCTTACTGCTCCAACAAGTTAATTTTCTCTCTAAACAGATAACTAGTTTAACCTCAAATGGAACAGAGTATAGTTTAGTCTCTTTATCTAAGAAAGGATAATTTTAAAAGAACAAATTAAGATCTCATTTATTCTGTCTTGAGTACAGATGGGTAAGAGTTGATTTTGTTGAAGTTTACAAGATTATCCAGAGGACTGATAGAATAAAGACTGATATCTTTCTGCTATATTCTGAAGAAAATAAGATGAGAGAATACACATTTAAGATTTGGAAAAAGCAGGCAAGATTCCAGTTAAGATAGTTTTATTTTTTTAACAGGATAATTTACTTAAGGAATAAATCATCTGGTTTGGTTTGTTTTGAATTTTGCAAAAAGCTACACGAGGACTATCTGTGCTAGCCATCCCTAATTTAGCAGTGAAAGACTATAGGAAAGGCAGCTAGTCATCACCACCCACCGCCAACTCTTTTACCAACAAATAGGGAATTAACCTTCACATTATAACACCACCATGGCTGAAAAGGTAAGCGTGTTTGATGGAATGACCCACATATTGTGAGTCAAGCGCCCTAACCAACTGGCTATACCAGGCCCAAAATTATTTGTCATTTTTCTGCAAATAAATCATCAGCAGCACAAGTAAACATGATCACATTATTGACACTTAAGAAAGAAAGTGATGATTTCCTAAAAAAAATGAAGGGTATGTTTAAATTTTTACTTTTATTTACCATGAGTGTGCAAGGACACCCTTGAAGGACCAAATGTCCCTTGTTGTCTGTACATTACACTTACATCCCTATAACTATTCATATCAAGATTAAAATTTTAATTTAAATAAATTCATAGAAAACATCAATGGAAATAAATCTTCTTTTTTTAATAAAACCAGCTTATCTTACAAAAAAAGTTAGTCTTTTTTATATTACCAAATTTCAAGTATAATTACTATAAATGTTTTACACTTCAAATCAGTTTAACTTATTTTCTACATTCTACCAAAGTCTGCGATTGCGCTACTCCATCTGAGCAATAAAGACATCCAAAAAACACCAGCCATTCTCAGAATCTTACTATCATTATCAAATTTATTACAAAATATATTTGAATCTAATTTAAAGTGAAACCTGCATGAATTTTTGTTAGAGGAAATAATTCATAACTAAATGTCCTATCCCAGTAGAGTAAAGAATATTAAAAAAGTGAAATAAATATTTCACAATTATGCAACTAATGTAAGTTTGTGAGTATTAAGATATTTATTAGTATTATTATACAACTTGCATGTACTTTAGCACTATTGTAAAAAGGCATGCTAATTCTATTATGCGTTCTTCCATAAAAAAAAATGTTCAGTATTACTCTTAAATTGCATATATTCCTTCTTCAACTTCCTAGTGTAAACAAGTTACTTCAAGACATTGAGGTTTAACTTTAACTTTGAAAGTACATATGCATGTCCATGTGAAACTGAAAGTGATAAATAATAAGCTAAGATCTCGTTGTCCAAGAGTACCCAGAAAACGTTTTTAAATATTTATTTTATACTTATTACTAGTACTAGTAGCAAAAGTTTGTGCATAAATATGATATTTGTGCATCAATTTATGATTTATCATTTGATAAAGACATTTTATGATTTTTTTTAAATTGCCCACGCACCATTATTTTAGTTTTACCATGTGTTTTGTTGTTTTATCAATTAAACCATATTACTAAAATTCTAAATTTTCTTTAGTGCACAATACGTTTTTTTACGCATAAACAAACCTTTAATACTATTCTACACTTCAAGAAAAATGCTATAAGAGTGCTTAAATTCCAAAACGCGCAATAAAAGTTTTACTCAAATAAATCGCACTAACTCACCGCTTTCATCTGAGACATATTGGGCTGCCATTCTTACAGGGCATGACTTATTTACAGAGACGCTCTCCTCGAGCTTTTTGCCTCACAGGTGCTATTGACAGAAGAAGTGATACTTGACCATAAACATCATTATTTTGATTAAAAACACACTGACAACGTCGCTTCTAGCAAAAATCCCTTAAGGTAAGCCCGTCAGTTACTTTTATTACACTTTCGAACTTTGAATTTTGCCAAAATTTAAGAATTTTCATAAAAGCAATTTAAGTAAGCAAATAAATAACTCATTTTTCCCTATATAAAAATACACTCAAATGCTTAAAAGGTTTTTAGAAAGTGAAAAAAAAATGCTCACATTGCCCCCCCCCTTCACACTTCCGGTGGCACAGCGGAATGTCTGCGGACTTACAACGCTAGAAACCGGGTTTCGATACCCATGGTAGGCAGAGCACAGATAGACCAATGTGTAGCTTGTGCTTAACTACAAACAAACAAGCTCACATCTCTAAGAGATTGCAATAGATTGAAGCAAAATATTCATTTTTAATGTAAAAAACCAAAGAAGTAGTAGTAATCAACCAGATATATTGCATTTAATTTCAGTAAGTCACTGCATTATAATTTGAAAGACTAGATTGAAAAATTAGTCTTATATCATTCATAATATTATATGTAATATAAATGAAAACTTATATTGACAAATCTAACTCTGACTTGACCAGACGTCCAATTATCAAAAAATCTTGAGTAGCCTAACAGTTGTTGTTCAGTAGAAAGCTATACAATGGGCTATCTGCACTTTAAACCAGACTTAACTTTTGTCAAGAAATAGAAATTGGACCCTAAAAATTACTGGGTATGTTTTTTAACACTGTTCGCTTCCAGTAAGTTCCATATATTGTATCATATTGAGTAATTTTGTTTATGCTTGTTATAATACTCAGTGTAAAAAAATGACCAAACAAAATGGGATGGAACACTCATCTGTTATGTTAAATGCATAGAAGATCTCACCAGTAATTTTGTTTATGCTTGTTATAACACTCAGTGTAAAAAAATGACCAAACAAAATGGGATGGAATCACTCATCTGTTACGTTAAATGCATAGAAGATCTCACCAGTAATTTTGTTTATGCTTGTTATAACACTCAATTTTAAAAAATGACCAAACAAAATGGGATGGAATCACTCATCTGTTATGTTAAATGCATAGAAGATCTCACCAGTAATTAATAGGATTAACCTGATTTTCTAAAATAGTATATTAGGTAAGCCTTCTTTATACCAGGAGGATCGACAGGATAAATTAAAAAATGGTGATGGATTTCTAAACTGGATAAGTTTTAAGCTAAGAGATAAAGAATCTGGAGACGACGTGTAATAAAAAATGAAGGACACTCATGTTATCTACATTCTTGTACAACGTTCAGCGTTACAGGAATACCAATCACAGGCAAAACATTTATTATATCCAGAGAACAATAACAACAAAAAAAGCAGCTGTTACGAAGTCAACTTAAAGCCCGTACTGCAGCTAGTGATATTCAGAACTCTAAGGCAAGAGATGATCCTGACTTAAAATAATGTTGCGTATCTGCTTGTTTGTTAATTTCCCGTAAAAATTCTCTCCGAGAAACTTCAGCGATACAAATCCTTTCTTAATTAAAACTAGTTTATTCTTTCTTGATACAACTTTGCAATACACAGAATTCCCACAGTCAATACGTTTGCAATCTCGATAACAAAACACACATTTTATATTACCGTCACTACCGCTCGCTTGACTCAATTATCTGTCTCTATATCTATCTATCTGCAGTTTTATCTCCGCTTTACTTGCCGAGCTTATATACAAAAAAGAGGGCGCCTAGAACAAACTAGAGTTGCCAGTAAAAGTCAAGATTCTTCGAGAATCTCATGATGTGTTATCAGCGTCATGTGACTTCCGCTGTCGTAACAATAACATAAAAGACTGGAAGGTACCAAGATGTTACTCAAACTCGCGCTAACATTTGATTTTAGCTCTTCTGGCCATATTCGAATCAGAATACTCAACACTGGTGTCAACAGTGAATGGTGTTTGCCACATTAAGAAAACGTCGACCAAAACAGGGCAAACTTTTCAAAGTATTGTTGTTTCTTTTTTACAGAGAATAGTCCTGGATAACTCTTGTCCGCTCCCAAAGGTTATCAGTATATACTCATGGCTATTGACTACTTTATAAAATGAGCCGAGGCTTATCCATTGGTCAACACACTGGCACAATCCATAGCTGATGCGTTGGCAGAGCACAAATATCATAGTTTTGAGCACCTGAAGAGCACATGGATCAGAAAAACTATCTTCAAGAGCCAACTGTTCTCTGAGTTGTGTAGAATGTTGGGTGTGGCGAAGATACCCTTTACCTTACCACTCCTATTCAGATAGTTTAGCAGAACAGGTAATACAGATTGTTAAGCATATGATGATTGGACCGACTAGAATGAACATTTACTGAACGTCATGATAGCGCACAAGGAAACTAAGCATGGATCAATAGATTGTTTGTTATACATCCTCATGTTTGGTTGGGAAGTCCTGCTCAATGTAGGTGTGACGTATGGTCCTCCTAGAGTAGATGTCGAACAATGCTCCCATAATTATGTGTAGTGGTTAAGGTCTGTGTTAGCTGATATGCAAGAGTTTGCATGCCCACAGCTAGGAAAGGACATCATAAGACGGAAAAGATACTATGATAAAACCGTGAAAGAATTGATACACTAGCGTGAAGACTCGGCATGGCTTTGGTATGTGCCAGTCGAATGAATGCAGCTTCGTTACGGTTGGACAAGGCTTTTTCAGAAATTGTGCTTCAACGAGTTAGTTCAATAATGAACGAGTTAGAACAATCGAGAGAAGAGTGGAAATACGTAATACGCGTCGACGAGCTGTGTCCGTATGTTATTGACAAACAGTTTATGCACTTGTTTGACCAGGGATCAGAGGAAGATACCGATGAGTCAAAGGAAAATTACAACACTGTCTTGTTCCCCTAGAGCAGGGGTCACCAAACTTTTTTCACAGCGGGCTAGATAACTGAGAGAATGACGAGCGCGGGATGCATAACCATTTTGTTCAATAAAATACAGTGAATACACAAAAAAATAAAGACAACAAACATGTTTATTTTCCAAAAAGTTATCAAAGAAGGCGACGTTAGCAATAAGATAGTTATATCACACCAAGTGCGCACATATCCGAATCTTACAAACTAAGCAGCAAAAAAAAGGTTTGTGAGATTTGTGAAACTGGCGTTTAGCTTTAGAGATATCATCAATATTTGCTTTGGAATTGCTGCATCCAACCAAGAGAATTGCTTTCAAATGTTCATCAGTCAACCTTGTTCGATGTGCTGACTTCACATAATTCTCACAGACATAAGTTGTTCCAAATACTGATACCATACCATAGGTAAATTTCTTCAACTTTGAAAACTCATCATCAGGTAAGCAGCGATAAAATTCAACAACTTTTCCTTTTCTGTGCTTCTCTTTCAACAAGTAATTTGCTTGCAAATCAATGAGCTCCAACTGTAGTTCGACTGGCACGTCATCAGGTTTCAATCAATCGGATTCTGGAACAGAAGAATGTCACTCTCAATTCTGTCGAAATCTGAAAATCTCTCCAAAAAATGCTTATTTAAGTCACTAATAATCTTCTGCGATTCCAGCGCGAAACTCTTTGAAACACTGAAAATGAGAGAAGTTTCCTTCTTCCAGTTGTGCTTCAAACAATGATAGCTTTTTCCGAAATCCTTTGAAGATTTTGTAGAGATCACACATAAGGTTATTATTTCCCTGAAGTTTCAAGTTCAATTCATTCATGTGGGATGTGATGTCAATCAAAAATGACAACTTTGACAGCCAGGTAGTATCTGACAAAAGTGGATCAGCTCTATCCTGATAGAGTTATCAGTTATCTCTCAATAGATGGAGAAAAAATACTTGGATGTTCAGTTATTTCTCAATAGACGGAGAAAAAATACTTGAAAGTTCAGTTATCTCTCAATAGATGGAGAAAATATACTTGGAAGTTCAGTTATCTCTCAATAGATGGAGAAAAAATACTTGGAAGTTCAGTTATCTCTCAATAGATGGAGAAAAATACTTGTAAGTTCAGTTACCTCTCAATAGATGGAGAAACAAATAATAAGGAAAAATACTTGAATATTCAGTTATCTCTCAATAGATAGAGAAAAATATATATGGAAGTTCAGTTATCTCTCAATAGATGGAGAAACAAATAATAAGGAAAAATACTTGAATATTCAGTTATTTCTCAATAGATGGATAAAAATACATGGAAGTTCAGTAATCTCTCAATAGATGGAGAGAAAAAATTAAGAAAAAAATACTTGGAACTTCATTTTTCTCTCAATAGATGGAGAGAAACAATTAAGAAAAAATCCTTGGAAGTTCAGTTATATCTCAATAGATGGAGAAATAATACTTGGAAGTTCAGTTATCCCTCAACAGATAGAGCAAAAAGTTAAGAAAATATACACTGAA